ATGGTATTGGTATTGACTCAGTTATTTGCCAGCTGTTGCCGTATGATGGCGCTAGTAGAGCGCTAGTGTTATACGCTCTGCTAGCGCCACCATGCGGCGCCAGTTGGCTAAAAATCTGTTCAATATCACGGCTTCTGGAGAATGCCTTAGATTCATTTCATACAGATAGAAATAATTTCAAAGCTGATTGAGTTATGAAATGCATTTAAATATCAAACCAAGGCCATGGGTATCAGACATGAACTGCGACTTCCGGTGGGCACAGTGACTTTGGTAATTGGTATGTCAATGTCTTTGAAAAGGCAGGTAAGATTTGCAACTGGTCAGCCTTGCTTCAATTGGATTTGTGTCCATTATAAATGGATTTCAGTCATACTTACCTACATATGTTATTGGTATTCGATTTCTAGAGCCCAAAATATTGTTGGGTGTGTACAGCAAACTGAATGGAAGTGATGTGTACAAACATTGAAGTACCTATTTTCTGGACTGCTTGCAGTTAGAACTTGTTTGCTTTGTTGTAGGTGACAAGATAAGAAATTGAAGCAAGACTGACCAGTGACCAGTATGCTACAGAATAGGTAGCCCAATCTGCAGGAATATTAGAATTCAAAAGTGGAATTGGGACTTAGGAACTGGAAACTGCATCAACCATGTTTGCCAAAGTAGTTACCTATGTACCTAGTCCTACTAGGTAGCTGCTTGAATCTTTGGTCAAGGCTACTATGCCGCTTAATACAATTGTGGTATGCGACATATTCATCTTATCATATAGCTTTGAGTCAAATAATCAACAAATGCCTATAGTGAGTCATGGGTTGAATGAAATAAGTTCAATAAAAATGTCGTGTGAGTCATGAGTTGATTTGAATCGATTCATCAAAATGTGTGAGTCATGAGTTGATTCGAATCATTCCGTTGGCTAGTTGCTCGAGTCATGAGTTGATTCGAATTATTTTATCGAGGAACTTGATGAGTCATGAGTTGATTCGAATCAATTAAATTTAACATCATGAGTCGTTTGATGAATCGATTCAAATTTCCAGACTCAAACAAAGAATCGACTCAAAAAAATTGAGTCGTTTACAAGTCTGATGGTGGCGGCATCCACCCCTTCTTCTCGGCCGGCGAGGGTTAAACCTCGCTTCGAATTATTGCAGATAATGATGTGACCAAAAGCAAAGCATTATTCTGTGTCTAGAACGGCCGCTGACTTGTTGGACAAGATCCCCAATCTTAATTCGCTAGATGGGAATAAAATACTCGGTATGTGATACATATAGTTATACCCCTCGATTTGCCCTCGCGCTAAGTCTATTCTAATCATCACTGTCGCTTTTTTATCCGAGATGATGTCGCCGCTAAACGGGTTGTTTTGTTTGCTTGCTTGCGCTGAATGGCCATTACAGATTATTGAAGGATTATGATAAAACAGGAATGGGGCAAGGGAGGATATGCACTGCAGGTGTTTAATTTAGATCACAAAGGCATCATTTCCGACATTGTGTAGAGTCATTATCTTCCCCTCCTCTGCACTGCGGCATCTCTGCGCCCCACACACGGCGTCCTCACTCCACGGCCGGCCGCCGCCAACTGACCCACTCGCCGGGCGCCGCGACCTGACCCGTGTCGCTGCCGCGGCCTGCGCAATAGAGTCGGGGCTGGAATCCGGGGGTTCGGCCGGCCGGCCGCCTCTGGAGCGGGGGACTTTTTTAGTAGACCTACTGTACAACAGGTTTACGCGATAACTGTATGTTTTGATATGCATGATTAACGGATGCATTAGTTTGGGTGTAGAAACTTGCATATTTATTGGTATATTATTTGTGTAGAACTGGGTAACTGCTTTTAATTGAACTGTAAAGCATGATGGTAATGCATGCGAGTTGTTCGAGCCCTTTGTAAGAATTAGGATGTTACTCAATTCAACCCTACCCTACCCTACCATACCCTACCCTACCCCTACCCCTAGGCCTACCCCTACACTACCCTACCCTTCCCTACCCTACCCTTCCCTACCCGTACCCTACCCTTACACTACCCTACCCTACCCTACCCTACCTTACCCCTAACCCTACACTACCCTACCCTACCCCTACCCTACCCTACCCTTACACTACCCTACCCTACCCTTACCCTACCCTACCCCCACCCTACCCTACCCTACCCTGCCCTACGCTACCCTACCCTACCCCTACCCCTACACTGCCCTAACCTACCCTACCCTACCCTACCCTACCCTACCCTGCCCCTACCCTACCCTACCCTACCCTACCAAACCCTACCCCTAGTCCCTACCCTACCCCTAGTCCCTACCCTACCCCTAGTCCCTACCCCACCCTACCCTACCCTACCATATCCTACCCTACCCTACCCTACCCTTACACTACCCTACCCTACCCTACCCTACCCTTACCTTACCCTACCCTACCCTACCCCTACCCCTACACTACCCTAACCTACCCTACCCTACCCTACCCTACCCCTACCCTACCCTACCCTTACACTACACTACCCTACCCTACCCTACCCTACCCCTACCCTACCCCTAACCCTACCCTACCCTACCCCTACCCTACCCTACCCTACCCTACCCTACCCTACCCTACCCTACCCTACACTACACTACACTACACTACCACTGACAGTCCAAGTTTCAGCTAACTCGGCCCAGAAACGGCTGAGTTATTGCAAAAACAAATTAATTGTATTTACTGGCGAATCCTCTTGGCGAGCGGTGCCTTGTGTCGGCCTTCGTTGTCAAAGGTCAACGACCTCCCGGCTCTGATGCTTTTCACTCAGTTTTTTAAGCGAACAACTGAGCCTACCGCGCGTGCTCTCTGCTCGGCGCCGGCCTCGGCCAGCCTGCGGCAGAGATGCACGCGCTGAACGAAAATTCGTTCTGATGGATAGGGAGGATTATAAGGATAAAGTTGAGACGATTTTAAATGACAATGAGAGTTATGAAAAGTTGCCGAAAAATCCAGTTCCGCAGGTGGAAGCGAAGACTAAACAGGTATTCAAGGCGGTAGCTAAAGATAAACTTTCAGAGAAAAACGTGGAAGATCTAACGCCCATGCATAGCAGAACTCCAGTTTTTTACGGCCTTCCTAAAGACCATAAGCCCGAAGTTCCATTGCGCCCAGTAGTTTCAGGCTCGGGTGGGCCTACCGAAAAGACAGCTTGCCTTCTCGAGAGAATATTAAAGCAGCTTTTAGCGTTCATTCCAACTCATCTCTGTGACACTAACGATTTTTTGAAAAGAATGAATGATCACTGTCAAAGACAGTCACTTCCGACAGGGTCCATCTTCTTCAGTATAGATGTAGTAAATCTGTATGGGAGCATACCTGTAGAGGAGGCCATTCAAGCAGCCAAAGAAAAGTTAGAAGCTCACGCGGGGGGGATTGAAACATTTGGTCTAAGCAAGGAGGACATATGTGCTCTACTGGATCAATGCCTACACAACAATGTCTTCTCGTTTGGAGATGCCTTCTTCAGGCAAAAGCAGGGCATCGCTATGGGCAACCCGTGCGCTCCGCCTTTAGCAGTCATCTTCTTAGACAAGTTTGAACAACAAGCTCTGACAGGTGCGGCGCTCAAACCAGACTTTTTGGTTAGATACATAGATGATTTTGCCGGAATATGGAATCATGGAGAGGAGGAGCTGTTCAACTTTCTGACGTAGCTCAATGGCTTGCACCCAAAGTTGAAATTCACCCTAGATCACTCAAAAAACGGAAAAGGGGTCCCTTTCTTAGACACCTATGTAACGGTAGAGTCGAATGGAAACCAGACAGCTTAAGTAGAGACAGAACTGTACATAAAACCGACGAATTCGGGCATTGTCTTGCATGCCACTTCGGCACATCCCACCTCAACAAAACACAACATGATCAGGGGCATGTTTCGCAGGGCGCTGAACCTTTCCTCTAGCAAAGCTAAGGGAGCCTCCAGTGTGGAAAAGATCCGTCTTTTACTGGTAAAAAATGGTTATTCACGTAATCTACTCAAGAGGCTCCTCAGAGAGGTACAAAACGACAAACGGACAAAACAAAAACGTGGGAACACACAGAAGGCGGGGGATGACGGTTATTTGACTTTGCCATACATCGATGAGCATTTACTGTGCAAAGTGAACAGCATTATTAAGAAATCCGGACTCAATGTAAAGCTGGCTTGGCGAAATGATATGAAGTTAAAAAAAACGTTTAGTTCGTTCAGCATTTAGCAAACCTCGTTGTCCAGGGGGAAATAGGTGTAATTTGTGCAAGAGTGGGTTCACAGGCCAGTGTACACAAAAGAATGTAGTCTACATGTTAACATGTAAACTGTGTGGTGCAGGAACGACCAGTGCACAGTACATAGGAGAAACGAAACGCCCGATACGGCTTAGGTACAATGAACATGTGAGAGACGCCATTGGCAACAAACCAGACACCCCTATGGGTGATCACTTTGGAAATGTTCACCCAGATGCCAGGGACATTCCTTATAGCATAAGTGTGTCAGTGCTATATAGGGCAACGGATCACCCAGATCGCAAAATCGCAGAGTCTATTTTGATTAGAAAACGCAGACCGGAACTGAACTCGAATGTATCGTCTTGGCCTATTATGTAAGTGTATGGATGTGTGTCACTGGATGTACCTGTCTCGTTTATGTAGATGAGTGTTAGAATGCAGTGCGCCAATTTAGGATTTTGATTTGTATTTTCTAATGTAAGAAGTTTGTTAATTAGGCTTAACAAATTTCAGTTACTTGTATTCGTATGTCGACTAAAAGTTATCATGATTTGAAAAATGGATGTACTTTAGATTTAATTGCTCGTGATAACGAATAGTGAAATAGGAGATAAAGAAAGGAGCAGACAAGAAATGTATTCTTATTCTGTCTTTTGTTAACAATTCCGACGAAGATCTGTGATCGAAATATCAATATCAATATATCCTTTTTGCTAATTTATATTTTACGAGGAAAGGTCATAAATTCTTACTTACCCTACATGGCTGTTGTTGTTTTCGTCAGGCGTCCCAAGAGGCATACCCATAAAGAGCCGGAACATAACTCTGGAATTGAAAAAAAAAAAACAGTAGAAGTTAATGTAATTTATACACATATCACGATCCATGACTATGACATTGGTATGACCTTAAGGAGAATATGGCCTTCCTAATTAATTAAACCGGTAAAAACGCCTTTTGAGCGAAGAGCGAGCGGGCGACAGAGTGAGCCCTGCACGTGCGGAAGTGCGAGAGGGTTCTTCCAACTGACTTGTGCACGGCACCCCAATGACCGGTCTAGAGCATTGTGCCAAATTTGTGCGCAATCGCCCCAGCCGTTCTTAACCCGGCAGGCGGTGGGCCTCCCGGCCACCTTCCGCGCGGTGGGGGGCATTTTTTGCCCCCCCCCCGTATCTCCGAAACTACTGGACGGATCCGGAAAATTCAAACGGCGTTTGATAACCCTGTCAAATTTGTCGAGGGAAACCAAATTTCATTGACCTCGGGGTCACCGATGACGTCACAGGTCAGGTCAAAGATAAAATGTTTCACCGTTCACGGGGCTTCTAGGGAAAGTGCTATAACACCGAGTAAAACGCATTTTGTCGAAAATCAGCGATAGGGCGTCAGTTGTCTAGTACATATGTTGCTATTTGAGGTCACTGGTCATACAAGGTCAGGTCACAGGTCAGGTCACCAAAGGTCACCTCCATAAGTGCTATTGCCCTCGGCTTCGCCTCGGGCAATAGCACTTGTTTCGGTCTTCACCCTCGGGCGACAGTGACGTCACATCGGGCAATATTTTTTGCTATTGCCCGCTCCCCCATGCAGTATTCGTATACTAGATATCGAGCTGGCGGGTCCCGGACGATGTACGCTGGCAGTTCTGCACGGTCCTAATGATAATAACCCAGGTTTCTACAGGTCAGTGTTTTCTTTAATAGGGTATATCGATAATAACAATGTTGTTATTGTAGGAGACTGGAATGTTACGTTAAATCCTAATGTGGACACTGAACACTATGTCTCTCAAGGTAACCGCCGGGCCAGGGAAGTGATTCTAGAGTTTATGGAGAAAGAGGGTATGGTTGATGTGTGGAGGGAGCAACACGCGACGAAAAGGTCGTATACTTGGAGGCGATCGTCCCCTCTCAGACTTGGAAGACTAGATTATTGTTTGGTCTCGTTAGCGGTGTCGAGACTGGTTTCCAGCTCATTTATTTTACCAGGTTACCGGTCTGATCACAGCCTGACTAGCATTGTTAATAAGTGAAGGAATGCAAAGTAAACGTGGACTCTATTGGAAGTTTAATAATTCGTTGCTGAAAGACTCCACCTACATTGACTTGGTGAATGCAGAGATTTTATAGATTAAAAGACAATATGCTTTTCCACTTTACACCAGCGATGAAGTTGAAGAGAGTAACGATATTGCATTAGTTATTGATGATCAACTCTTTTTTGAAGTCTTGCTATGCAAAATTCGTGGCCTGACTATATCCTACGGTGCGCGGAAGAAACGGGAAAGAGATAGACGCGAGGAAGTACTGGCTCTTGAAAATGCAAGTATTGGAAGGCCTTTTCGGGGAAGGGGAGATCTATCGTGAACGTTTGGTTTGCGCACAGCAGGAGCTTTCAGACCTCCGACGGATAAAGCTGGCCGGTGCGGCGCAGCGGGCGTGTGTCCGCTGGGTACAGGAGGGAGAGTCTCCAACGAAGTATTTTTGCGGGCTGGAAAAGAGGCAGAGTGTTGCAAAATACATCCCTTGCTTAAATGTCGACGGTGAATTGGTAAACGATAATGTCAAAGTGCTAGACTGCATAGAGGCTCACTTTAGTAGCCTTTACAAGGCACGGGCACAAAAGAATATTAATCACTGTCAGAAAGAGATTGGTGATGACTATCCAAAATTGACCTCTGATGAATCTCGTACGTTAGAAGGCCTATTAACTCTAAAAGAAGCCACCCAAGCCTTACGCGAGTTACGAAATGATAAGTCTCCAGGGCCGGACGGGTTTAGTGTTAATTTTTTCAAGTTCTTCTGGAAGCAGATTAGCGGTTTTCTAGTTCGCTCATTGAACAGTGGTTACGACAAGAATCTTCTGTCGTGTTCCCAAAGACAGGGCATAATTACACTGATTCCAAAAGGAAAGAAGCCGAAAGAATTTATTAAAAATTGGCGACCTATTTCGCTTCTCAATACCTCTTTTAAGATACTATCCAGGGTGATTGCAAACCGGCTGCGATTGGTTATTGATAAATTGATAGGACAGGAGCAAAAGGGATTCATGAAAGGACGTTACATTGGTGAGTGTACACGAACTGTGTACGACGTAATGTGGGAGGCGAAACATTCCAAGAATTCAAGTACCCTAATGCTATTGTTGGCTGATTTTCAGAGCGCCTTCGACTCTCTAGATCATAAGTTCATTCAGGATGTCCCAAAGAAGTTCAGTTTTGGAGAAAGCTTCAGAAAATGGATCCGGGTAATGTTTACAGGGGCCGTATCGGCCGTTTGCCAAAATGGTACGTCGACTCAATTCTTTAACGTAGAACGGGGCTGTAGACAGGGTGACTGTTGCTCACCTTTAGTTTTCGTTTTGTGCGTTGAAATTTTAGCGATCATGGTGAGAAACAATCCGCAAATTAGAGGCTGGGTCAGGGACGGCAAAGAATGTAAAATTGAGCAATACGCCGATGACACGACTTTTATCTTAGATGGTACACGGGGAAGCCTGATTGCCTGCTTGACTACGCTACAAGCGTTTGGGGAGGTTTTAGGTCTTACTTTAAATGCTAAGAAAACTCAAGTGTTTTGGATGGGTTCCCGGCCGTCTCCCGCTTTTTTGGCCAACACAGACCTGTTGGTTGCTGCTGAAAAATTCACACTTCTTGGCATCGAGTTTACCAGAACAATGACAGACATGTCAGAACGTAATGTGAGAAGGAAGGTCGTTGACATTGCAAATCTTCTCAGAGGATGGCTGAGAAGGCGTTTATCTTTTTATGGGAAGCGCACGGTAGTAAAGACGCTGGCGTTGCCAATGTTGACGCACATCCTCAATGCACTGCCTTCTCCGCCGAAGTCGGTCTTCATGATTTCGAGGTGATGTTTTTCCGATTTATTTGGAACAACAAGCAGGATAAAATCAAACGCTCTGTTATGTATACCAGATTTAAAGTGCCAAATGTCACAATATATGATAGTGCTCTCAAGGTTATGTGGATTAAAAGAGCTGTAATGAAGAGCGATGTATTTTGGAACATACTTCTGAGTTCAGGGGAACTTAAGCTCAATGAAATGTTAGTACGGGCGATAGTAGTGCAAAATACTTTTTAAGCAGATCAAGAGATAACTGGGCAAGGAACTTATTTTAGCGAGATGTCTATCAATGTTGGGATGTTTTCAAGGCCAGTTGCGGACTTTTTGACACGGACGTTGATCCAATTCACCTAGGTACCAAGCTGCTGATTGGCGGTTTCCCATTCTGGAATAGAGCTTTATTTGAGGCCGGATGCAGGCAGTCCGTCCGTATATGCAGGCAGTCCGTATATATATATATATATATATATATATATATATATATATATATATATATATATATATATATATATATATATATATATATATATATATATATATATATATATATATATATATATATATATATATATATATATATATATATATATATATATATATATATATATATATATATATATATATATATATATATATATGGAGTTTGAGAAATCCGTGAGTTTGCAAACTCGGAGTTTTGCAAACTCCCTGACCCATCAGTGAGTTTGCAAAATCACTAGGGAGTTTACAAATTCACTAGGGAGTTTGCAAACTCACTGACCGGTCAGGGAGTTTGAGAAATTCCAGAGCGATTGGGCCAAATAAAAACAAGTGTGCAGCATGTGGGTGTCATACGCGCCGTCCGTGATGTTAAAACAAAGGCGGTTAGTTGTAGGGCCTTGTTATGTTCTGTTGCAAGGGCCTTTTCAGACCCGAAAAAGATGGCCCCCAACCAAAACAAACAATTTTCTCATTCAGTATTGTATCTCATCAAGCACCACTTGTTTTCAGAGTGTTTATTATGCGTTCCGTCCAAAAAAGTGCAGTTCAATTTTCTCCCATTGACTTGAGCCTTGAGCGATCTCAAAATTGACCCGGCCTCTCTGTCAACAATGTCAAACTTGCAAAGTAAACGTTTCAAATACATATAATGTTGCCCATTAGAATCGCTGAAAGTTCTGAAGCGATCGGTTAGTCGGTGTATTTAGATATGATGAGCACAGGAACTTTCCTTGAGGTAAGTTCACTTGACGTAACCTGATGTTATGACCTTGAATTGGGCGAATATGAATTGACTTGGGCGGGAAAAAATGGGTCATTTGAAATCTTAAAATGCTAGATTTTAACAAAAATTGCAAACACTATCCCGGCCAAATATTGAGTGAGAAGGGAGCGATTCCCCGACCCCATGTTTAGCTCCTATAATTGAGCTAGCTGCTAGAGCCTCGCGAAAAAAAGAGCGCTTGCGTCGTTACGTGACGCAGCGACTGGCACCTCATTTTAAAATATCAGTGACCTCTTAGGGCAGGTCAAGGGCCCCCAAGGTATTTGATCGGTTCTTGGTATATAACTAAACGCATTTTCGTCATTTCGATACAATCGTGTTTTCTGTTCTCAGACGCGTCGATTTATATGCTTTTTTGTTTAGGTGAAGCAATTTAGGATGTCTACCTCAGGTCAATGTCATGTTAGGGCAACGCAGGTCACGAAGCTGTTGAAAGGAGGACATGCTGCATAACATTTGATTCGGCAAGTCTTGCAAAGTCCATTGATGGCTGTCCCGAATGGCTAGCTCATTTTGATCGGGAGTTATTGACGAAACACTCCTATGACCCTAGTGACGTCATAATGACGTCACGCAAGGTGAATAATGCAAAAGTGAAGCATTAGACCTTGCCAAGAATGCATGAAGTCACGATTTCATGTGCTTGAGGTATAGTTTCAGATCATTTCCGACGCCAAATTAACGGTTTCCATAATTCC